AAAAAAAAAAAAAAAAAAAAAAAAAAAAAAAAAAACATTAGTCAAATTCATGAACAAAATCCAAAACTGTAACCTCTGCTTCTTTCTTAGACAACCTTTTTCTAAGCTAACCTGGCTGCCCAGCTGAACCAGAAGAGCACTTGAAATAACTATTGACTACTGCTCCCAGTTGTGTTTTGGGGTTTTTTGTACAGCCGTATAACCCTTCGTACTCAACTTCATGTTACTGCTGCTAATTGCCACACCGGTGGTGGCCCATGTCTAACTACAGCAATCAGGAAGATTGACACTCAGGGCCTACACACTTTCTAGATCAGGGATCAGCAACCTTTCAGAAGTGATGTGCCGAGTCTTCATTTATTCACTCTGATTTAAGGTTTCAGGTGCCAGTAATACATTTTAACGTTTTTAGAAGGTCTCTTTCTATAAGTCTATAGTATGTAACTAAAACTATTGTTGTATGTAAAGTAAATAAGGTTTTTAAAAACGTTTAAAAAGCTTAATTTAAAATTAAATTAAAATGCAGAGCCCCCTCGGACCAGTGGCCAGGACCCAGGCAGTGTGAGTGCCACTGAAAATCAGCTTGCATGCCACCTTTGGCACGTTGGCCATAGGTTGTCTACACTTGTTCTAGATCCACCTAGGAAGAGGAAACTGCTTGTATTTTCTGACAAAGCAAAGACAGTGGGATTAGGCGAATGAAGGATGGTTTCTTCTCTGCCCTTGCATGAAATGAAGAGAGAATGCTGCAGCAATTTAGATGAAGTAGCTTAAACAGAACAGTAGAATCACAGAAATGGAGGGCTGGAAGGGACCTCATGAAATCATCAGGCCTAGCTCCCTATAAAGGGGCAGGGCCAAGTAAACCTAGACCATCCCTGACAGTTATTTGTCCAAACTGTTCTTAAAATCCTCCACTGATGGGGATTCCCTTGGAAGGCTAGTTAATACCTGGAATACCTTGATAGTTAGAAAGTTTCTCCCAATATCTAACCTAAATCTCCCTGGCAGCAGATTAAGTCCATTACTTTTGGTCTTATATTCAGTGGCATGGAGAACAAATGATCACAGTCCTCTTTATTACAGCACTTAACGTATTTGAAGACTTATCAGGTTCCCCCTCAGTTTTCTTTTCTGAAGACTAAACATGCCCAGGTTTTTTGTTTGTTTGTTTGTTTTTGTTTTTTTAAAACCTTTCCTCATTCAGACATACCAGAAAGTTTGCCTAGAGCAGAGAGATCCCTACATTAAGTGGCCCCTCCTAGCATTTTGTTGTTGCTGTTTCCTTCAGGAGCTCTGCTGACATAGAACCCTTGAACTTGTTCTTCTGAGATGATGGCAAAAACCCATTAGCCATTGAAGTTCCCTGAGAAACCTTCACCATAAAACCCAGAAAATTATTAGGGGTGAAAGAATAATCTTCACTTTATCCAGTAAATCACAATCTCAACTAGTCATCAGTTGGTTCAGTTCAGTAAGAACATCTCACTTTTTAAACATGTATCAGTAATTGTACATCATCAGCTACAGGCCTTTGGCTGGAATAATTTACAGGCCCAAAATATTTAGTGAATCTGTCAAACAGCAGGGCTTCTTTTCAGCTTGCTAAGGACTCTCTGCCATGCCCACAGTCTCTTTTAACAAAGTTTTATTGTCCAAATGTATCAAAACAGTCCCGCACTCAGCTCACCCTTTACATCTAAGGCTCTCACTGTCTCCCATTCCAGGGGACTCTAGCAATTCTGTTGCTCCTGCTTCCTAGCTCTCTCAGCCAGTTTGACACCCCATCCCCCCGATCTCTCACTGACCCTTTATAGACCCAGATGCAGCCCTGCCCCCTTAATTGGCCCAACTGGCACAGAGGCACCGGACCTATTTCAGTTACAAGGGCAAGCCATGCTGTGACAGAACCATATACTGAGGGGGAAATAAAAAAAGTCTGAGTTGTACATTGCAGACAACTGAAATAAAGTGAAGCATCCTATGTCAGCTCAGTGCTATCCCAGAAATTAAAATAAAAAATAAAAGCCTCAACAGGTTGCCTGAATTATGTAGTTCCACATTCATTAATATTTAATATACAAGTCACAAAAGACCTTGTGTGCATACATACTGATTTTAAGCAGTTGTGGTTATGAACAGCTGCCTTTATTTGTATTGTTGAGTGTGTAAAAGACACTTATTTACATTTGCAGGTAATTAAATTACGGAATATTTAAGTGAATGAAGTCACTGATGGCAAATCAAAATGTAATGCAGTAAAATATAAAAGATGAAACATTTTCTTTTAAAATACTTCTAAACTATGTAGGCTTTGTGCTCGTTATTTTTACATCTATTCACCACTGGCAATGAGATTCAAAGAACCAATTTAACCCCTGATATCCAGAAAGTAGATTCTGCAAAATCCATAGGTCATAAGAAGAAGAAAGCAGAAGAAAAGAATTCATTCACTGACATAATAGGCTGACCTAGATCTGATGTTCAGTACTTACCAGTAATGAGGTTAGGTTTTCTGATTTTATACCACATGATACCAGACCTTCTTCCGTATTTCTAGCTTCAGTCTTTTCCTCAGTTGTGTTTTCTCCCTCTTCAAGGGCTTCTTTCTTTCTTATTGCTCTAACTAGGTTTGGCTTTGGCCTCCGTAAATGGCCCCTCACTAGCTGTGCAGGTTTTATAGCACTTGGTTTACTTTCTTCTCCAGAACTGGACCTAGGAAAATATTATGATTGTACATATTAGTAGTCACCGACCATTAAAATAGCTTTTGCAAATCTACTGTACTAGCCTAACTATATGTAACATCTGCACAATGTGAACCAGGAAAAAAAAGTCGACTCCCATAAAGGTTAATCGCATACAGTATTTTAAGAAGTCCACTCAGAGGAAAAGGAAGATATGAAAAGAGAAATTGCCTGCACATCATTTTCAGTGGTGGATGTTTCAGTTTTCTTTGTGGCAGTACTGGCTCTTTTGAGTGCAAGTGGAATATTTTGGGGGGGGGGTGTGCAGGAGAGGACAAGCCACTGTGTGCTCAAGGTGCCCAAAGCTAACTCAAGTGCAAGTCGAGATTTTCCCCCCCCCCCCGAACAAATAGATAGCGGATGAAAAGATGTCCTATTATCATCATTTGTTTCTCTTGGGACAGAAGAGGGGAAAGTCTTCTCTGATACTAGGGTATTGGTAATGAAGAGTCTGAACTTATTCTATAAAATTGATTTGATGATTCTGAAGATTGGAAAGTTTCTGCAATTAGAAAAAGAAAGAATCCAAGGTCTGGCCAAATTAATACGGAGGAACGTGTTACTGATGTAGAGAAAAATCTCATCTTGGCATGATGCACTGTCTAATGACTTAAAGCAAACAACACTGGCCAGTGGAGTAATATTTTATGGCAAACAGAAGCAGGATAACATTGCAGGAATTCAGAATGTAATCAAATCAGGTTATGAGAAATCTGATGAACTGGATAAAATGAAAGGTTGGCATTCATCCCTACCTCTGATTTTGTTGCTGTCACTATGGCCAAGAGGCTGCCAAGAAGTGGTCCTTCAGTCTGGCTATATTAAGAACTATACAGATTACAAATGACTCTTCAAACACAAGGAATAAATCCTTAAACTACTCAAGGAGGTTGGCAAAATTAATGTAATAGCAATGGTAGCAGATGTCAGGGCTTTGCAGGTCAACATCCCACAAGAGAAGAAATAAGTGAATCTGGATATAGCATGAATACGACTTGTTCTTTTTATATATACACAGTCCTTGATCAGAGGTGGGCACAAATGGCATGCAGACAGTCCCAACTTTCAAAGGCCTAAGCCTAAACATCCATGCCTGGTTCCCACAGAATAACTATGCCTTAAAAAGTGGACTAGTTGGTGACATCGAGGCAGAGAATAAACTCCCTTGCTGCTTACCACAGCTCCACCAAAGGGACACATACAGGGAAAAACAAACAAACAAAACCAAAGCTAAACAATATTATAAGGGCAATTTTCTTCCAAGATTAAAAATCTGTTCGCACTGCAAGAAAACAAACTTTAAGACTATGTAATGGTGCCACCTGGTGACCCCTGCCATAACCAAAGTTATATATTACTGATAAAGCTTTATAATACTTACAATTTTTAAACATGAATGGCTTAGTACAACAGTGTTTTAAAGACCATTCATTTATGAAATATGAACGTTACCTTTCAGAATAATTCGGAAGCCTGCTCTCAACATCTGTAGACATACAACTCTTTCTTTGATCGCTCTCATTGTTGCAGCTCAAAGATTTCTCAAGGGAGCAAAGTTTTTCTGATTGAATGCTTCTTTTTGGTGAGGTGACCCCACAGGAATCTGAACCATCTTTTTGGGCCAAATCCACTTCAGCCTTTAAATTATTTTAGAATAGCAAAAATATTAATATTAAATATGGTATTTTTAAAGAACAAAAAGCATTCTGAGTTATTATCCATAAATTAATCTGAATCAGAACTTCTTTCTAAAGGCTTTAAGCATCTTACGGTAACTAGTCATTGCTGCTATTCCTTCAATAAAGACAAGGCAACGTCTAGGACAGGCGTTCTCAAACTAGGGGTTGTGAGGTCATTACATGGGGGTTGCGAGCTGTCAGCCTCCATTCCCAAACCCCACTTCGCCTCCAGCATTTATAATAGTGTTAAATATTTTTTTTAAAATGTGTTTTTGAGAACCACTGGGGAGAATAAAAAACATCCAGTACTCTCCTTTTTGATCAGTTACTAGAGGACTCTGAATAAAAACATGGCAATAACAAATAGTCTGTAATGCATTTAAAATGCCTGTGCATTTTAAACATCGAGGGTCATGAAAATATCTGAAATTTCAAAATGTCTTTAGTTTTTAGGTAAAGAAACAGGATAAATCTTACCATTTGCTTAATAAACATCTAGGCATTTGTTCTGTGTTCCTGAGTGGTTTATATTAAATTGTAAGTATCATGCATAAGGATAAAAAAATGATTTAATTCATGCCTAGTATGTGGGTTTATTAGCCTACTTAAGCATTTTCTTCATAAAACTGCAAATAAAAGACAGGTATCAATAAGCATGAACAAAAAGATCTCAGTAAAATTCTCACTTTTGGAGAGAGATGTACATCAGAATCCCTATGTGGTAAAGGGCTCTCCTCTGCTTTTCCTGTTTCCCCTTCAACTGGAGCAGTAACTTTTTCTGCCACTGGCTCTTCTTTCTTGCCATATGCCCTTCCCAGGTTTGATCTAGCCCTCTGGAACCAACTCCTCATTAGCTGTGCTGGTTTGATAGCACATGGCTTATCTTCTTGGGAACTGGATTTTTCAGTGCCAATGATTTAAAAACAGAAAATGTCACATGGTTACAATTAATGGAACCTGTTACTGCACTCATTGTTAACAGATTTTTTAAAATCAATACTTATACAAAAGAGTTAAAAAAATTTTCCATGCTGTGCCTTTTGGTTTAAGATCAGGAAAATGTGCTCCTTTAGCATTTACAGTTTCTAGTTTTCAGCATTTGGGGAGTAACTCTGAACATGTAACATAGCCAAAGCCCAGTGTCAAGATTTTTCTTACTATTATTTTTCTGCTGTGTGTCATACACATCACTGCTAACTATTTTCATACTACTAGGAAGTAGCCCAAGCCTAAAAAAAGCGATATGAAGGGAATCAACAAATTCTGGCTTTCTAGATACCTAATTTCCAGAATTTAAATATTTATATCCTGGCTATGCTTGTGTGACAATACTTCTACCTGAATATATCAGTTATATGCAAACCCTTTTTTGATTCTAAGGGTTATGGGTGAGAAGGCCTCATAAATTGGTCTTAAATTGTGACACTAACAATACTTCATGTTAATTCATAATGTCTACTAACAACATTAAGTTGCAATTGTAAATAGAAACTAACAACATGTGCCTTATGCGTCTTAATTTAAAAATAAGATGTAAACAAATCCATGTATTGCTCCTGTGATGAGAAAGGTAGCAATATTGCCAATAAAAATTTAGAATGTTTGAAATTGTGCAATGATTTAAAAAGCACCACAATGAAAGAAGCACTCCAAAATTTATTTTGTTAGTCCAACCCCTTTGCTTGTAATTGATCAGGAGCTAAGAACCCCAATACCTCAGGTTAATTAGTGCCCTGTTATTTCATTTTTAACATAGAGGTGCATCAATAACAAGAAGGGAAAGTGAGGGCATTTCATTATAGCTACTCTGGTTCCACTGGTACTCAGATTAGGTTTTCAATCTTTCTGAATTTCTTATAAATAAAAGAGAAGAGGTAACAAAGGAGTAATAATTAAGGGCAGGAGCAAGGTATTTGAAAGATGGTGGGTCTCTAGAATCCCACCATTACTACTTTACTTCCCTCCCCTCTCCCCCAATCAAGATACATGTGTCAAGCCAACAGATTCCCCTTGCCTGTGGGTGCTGGAAAAATGTGACTTCCTCTGGAATCCCCAAAAGGAACAACCACATGCATTGTTCCCTGGCTCCAAGGATAGAATGTGTTGCCTTGCAAGTGCTGGCAAAGGCTAAGAAGTTGTTTTAAAGAATTAGTGTTTCTGCAATGTTAAAAAAGTTTGTAGAATTTCTTGTGGTTTGAAAAAAGATGTATTTAAAGTAAGTATTTTTGGAGGTATTCTTTTTCTATAAGAGGCATAAAATTGTTGAAGATCTATCTATTTTAGTTATTTATGTAATCAGGAACTTTAGTTTTTCTGTTGCTAGCAACATTAATAGCATCAGGGAAACCAGTAACCAAACACATACTTAGTACTTGCATTCACCTAGACTAATAACATAAGAATACATTGGGTCAGAGGAAACAAATAAGGACTTTGCCATTAACAATACTGGAAATCTTATCTGAAAAAACATGCAAATATTAATGTATTAGACATTTATATGCATTTGGAAAAAACTACCATTTGGAAAAGACAAAACTTGGTAGGAAAGAACTTTGAACTCAAATATATACAAGACAGCCCCACAGAGAAACAATATCAAGCACCTGGGCTCAACTAAAGAAAGCCACAGAATAAAAATGTTAGATGCTAGCACTGAAATAAAGGACCAGAGAGAATTGGAAAACATTGGGAAGAAAGGTACTGATACATGCACAGAGATCTTATTTGTACAATAGGTAAATGTTTGCATGAAAAGCTTTCAAACTTGTTTCCTAAACTTCAGCTCACCTGCTTTGTTCATCTGACACATTTTGGTAAATACCAGGCACTGGAGATTCTCCTTCTGGTGTCTGTTTCTCACAACCCAACAACTTATCTCCTGAAGCTTCAGAAGAGACAGCTTCATTTTCACCCTTTGGCTTGTGCTGAAAATATAACTATCATCAATACTGGTCATGTACTGCAAACAAGTACTAAAATGTCCCATGTTTTAAAATAGGATTGCATTTTATAAAATCACAGAAACTAAGGCTCTCTGTAAATATTAAAATGAAAACTATTTGAGCATGTAATTCCATTAATGAGCAGGCAGAAAAACAATCATAGGACAGAATTTTAAAATTTGAGTGCCCACAGGTAGGCATCTAAATCCATATTTAGGCACCTTAGGGATTTAAGAGCTTAACTATAGACACCCAAGTTTGAAAGTTTTGGGCATGCTGTTTTGCACATAGTGCCTTTCAGAGTATTTCATTGCAAGTTACAATGAAGAATCAGTAAACAAAATGCAGCTAAGAATCAGTAAACAAAATGCAGCTAAATATCCTCTGTTTTACAGATGCTTAAACAGAGGTAGGAAGGTGCTAAGTGACTTGCCTAAGGTTAACCAGCTTATGGTAAAGTCAGCAGGCATAGTCTTACTTCTATGGCAGTAGTGCTGTGCCACAAAAAGCTTAAAAAATAGAATGTAGCTTTGTATGTAAGAACTGATTGTTTCCTGCTGTTCCCTTCCTTGCCTTTCTGGCCTCCCTCACTTAGTTTCCCCAACATGGAGTTTATTTAACCAGGAAGGATGATGCAAAACCCTTATTTTTAAGTAGTTGATATGAGCCCAACCAGGAGTTACTTGATTGTGCCTAATCTTTCCTTCTATTGCAAATCCAACCAAAACCATACCCTTCGTTTTCCATAATAAGGCTTTTATTTATTAAAAATAAATAGATTTTAAAGAGTTCATTGTTGTAATGTCTGTAATAGCTCAACTTGGTAACGGTTTACCATATTATACCCTCTAAGCTTCAATCTGTTCGCTATTTAACTGCTGCATTATACGCCTTTTTGAGAAATATTAAAGAAAATGCCTTGAAGTGGTTTACTTGTACTACAACTTACTACAGTGGAGGGGATGCCAGCAGATTCATCTTTTTGCAGAGCTGATTGCTCAACTTCAGTCTTTTTTTCAGTTTCATCCTTTTCTGTTGCTCGTGTTTCTTTCCTTCCGATTGCCCTTCCTATGTTTGGCTTGGGTCTCTGGAATCGGCTCCTCACTAGCTGGGCTGGCTGAAGAGAGGCTGGTTTACTTTCTCCTTGAGAGATGAGTTTGCTGTGGAGCCTGCGAAAAAAGCAACATGATATCTGAAATCCTCTGTAACGCAGAGACATAATACTAGTATTCACAAGTCAGTTACATCTGTATCAATAAAGTCTTTCTGTTCTGTTTTTCTCGAACAGTGCAGATGTTAAATTTTAAACAAATACGATAGCACAGTGGTTCTCAACTGGGGGGCCGTGAACTGGTTTCGGGGGGGGACCAAGCAGGGCCAGCATTAGACTTGCTGGGGCCTGGGTATAAAGCCGAAGCCCCACTATATGGGGCTGACGCCCATGGCCCTGAACGCCGCCATGCGGGGCTAAAGCTGAAGCCTGAGCAATGTAACTTTGCAGGAGCCCCTGTGGCATAGGGCACCAAGCAATTACCTGGCTTGCTATCCCCTAACGCCGGCCCTGGCTTTTATATGCAGAAAACCAGTTATTGTGGCACAGGTGGGCCGTGGAGTTTTTATAGCATGTTGGAGGGCCTCAGAAAGAAAAAGGTTGTGAACCTCTGCCATAGCAGATAGTAATTTGAACAAAAAAAATTGCAGTTTCTCTTCACCTCAGCAGAAATTTTGCAGAAGGGCATTAGAGAAGCCTCATTACCTCCGTGCATCCATTATAGAATAGTTGTCTTACCTATTAGCTTTGTTTGTAGTGATTTTCAACAGGTCTCCAATACAAAAGCAAATTAGTGAGTTTCTGTTATAGCTTAAGTACACTTCAGAAATGGAGGGTGTTCATAAGTCTGAAATGTTCATAACTCTGAACAAAACATTATGGTTGTTCTTTCAAAAGATTGCAACTGAACATTAACTTAATACAGCTTGAAACTTTATTATGCAGGAAGAAAAATGCTGCTTTTAACCATTTTAATTTAAATGAACTGGAGCAGCTAACAGGAGAGTTTTGAAAGGGAGTTCTCCAGGGGAGTGTGAGCAGTGGCTAGAATGCAACATTCTTTAAACTTAAAAGCCAAAAACACGCCCTTGATATAAACAAAACAACAACAAAGGAACCAGCTGCAGGAGTAAAAAGAGAATGCAGGCAGAAGTCCAGCAACAGAGTGGCGGCTACCCAGTTTATTGCACCCAATGCAGCATGTATGATTACCTGCCCTATGGGCAGGTGGCGTACGTGTGCATTCGGTGCAAGGAGCTCCTGGCCCTCAGAGACCGTGTACGGGCTTTGGAGACCAGAGTGGCTGAACTGGAGGAGCTGAGGGAGACAGAGAGGTACATAGATAAGACTTTCCAGGACACAGTAGAATGGTCCCACCCCCAGTCTGACAGCCTCTGTTCTATTGAGGAGGATGAAAGTCCCAGGGAAGGAGAGCATCTAACTGGAGCAGAGGTAAACAATGCCATAATTGGGACCCTCCTTCCAGATGATGTTGTGGTATCCTCTTGCACTTAGGATACTTCTCTGGGGGAGGGAACTCCAGCTATTAGAAAGAGACAGGCATTAGTAATGGGCGATTCGATCATTAGAAACAGATAGCTGGGTTTCCGATGACCGGGAGAACCGCATGGTGACTTGCCTGCCTGGTGCAAAGGTTGCAGATTTCTCGAGACATCTAGATAGACTTATGTGTAGTACTGGGAAGGAGCCAGTGGTCATGGTACATGTAGGTACCAGTGACATAGGGAAGGATAGGAGAGAGATCCTGGAAGCCAGATTTAGGCTGCTATGTAAGAGACTGAAATCCAGGACCTCCATGGTAGCGTTCTCTGAGATGTTCCCAGTTCCACACACAGGGCCAGTCAGACAGGCAGAACTGCAGAGTCTCAATGCGTGGATGAGATGATGGTGTAGGGGTTTAGAATTATTAGGAACTGGAGAAACTTTTGGGAAAGGGGGAGCCTATACAGGAAGGATGGGCTCCACCTAAACCAAAATGGAACCAGATTGCTGGCACTTAACATTAAAAAGGTCCGGGGGGTAGCCGTGTTAGTCTGAATCTGTAAAAAGCAACAGAGGGTCCTGTGGCACCTTAGAGACTAACAGAAGTATTGGGAGCATAAGCTTTCGTGGAAAAAGCTTATGCTCCCAATACTTCTGTTAGACTCTAAGGTGCCACAGGACCCTCTGTTGCTTATTAAAAATGTCGTAGAGCAGATTTTTAAACTAAGAGCTGGGGGAAAGCCGACAGCTGCAGAGGAGCACGAGGTTCGGAAATCCCTTAGGGGAGGATCCATTAATAGAAAAACTTTATGTCCTAGTGAGGACGAAAGGATAGAAAACGATAAAATACAGGAAGGGTCTAATCAGAAACAGCCAAATAAAAAAAAAGAGTCCCATTCAATTACATTGTGCAACGGCAGACGGCTAAAAGGAGACAAGTTTTTAAAGTGCTTATATACCAGTGCTAGAAGTCTAAATAATAAAATGGGTGAACCAGAGTGCCTCGTATTAAATGAGGATATTGATATAATAGGCATCACAGAAACTTGGCGGAATGAGGATAATCAATGGGATACAGTAATACCAGGGTACAAAATATATTGGAAGGACAAAACAGGTTGTGCTGGTGGGGGAGAGGCATTATACACCTCTACCCCGATATAACGCTGTCCTTGGGAGCCAAAAAAAATCTTACCGCGTTATAGGTGAAACCGCATTATATTGAACTTGCTTTGATCCGCCGGAGTGCGCAGCCCCGCCCCCCCCCGGAGCACTGCTTTACGGCGTTATATCAGAATTCATGTTATATCGGGTCGTGTTATATCAGGGTAGAGGTGTATGTGAAAGAAAGCATAGACTCAAATGAAGAAAAATCATAAATGAATCAAACTGTACCATAGAAATTCCATGCTCTAATAATAAGAATATAGCGGTAGGGATATATTACCAACCACCTGACCAGGATAGTGATAGTGACTATGAAATGCTCAGGGAGATTAGAGAGGCTATTAAAATAAAAAAAATAATAATGAGGGATTTCAATTATCCCCATATTGACTCAGTACATGTCACCTCAAGATGGGATGCAGAGAAAGTTTCTTGACACATTAAATGACTGCTTCTTGTAGCAGCTGGTCCTGGAACCCACCAAAGGAGAGGCAATTCTTGATTTAGTCCTAAGTGGAGCACAGGATCTGGTCCAAGAGGTGAATATAGCTGGACCACTTGGTAATAGTGACCATAATATAATTAAATTTAATATCTTTGTGGCAGGAAAAACACCACAGTGGCCCAACACTAGCATTTAATTTCAGAAAAGGGAACTACCCAAAAATGAGGAGGTTAGTTAAACAGAAATTAAAGGGTACAATGCCAAAAGTGAAATCTCTGCAAACTGCGTGGAAACTTTTTAAAGACACCGTAATAGAGACTCAACTTAAATGTATACCCCAAATTAAAAAACATAGTAAGAGAACCAAAAAAGAGCCACCATGGCTAAACAAAGTAAAAGAAGGAGCGAGAGGAAAAAAGGCATCCTTTAAAAAGTAGAAGTCAAATCCTAATGGGGAAAATAGAAAGGAGCATAAACACTGGCAAATGAAGTGTAAAAATACAATTAGGAAGAATTTGAGGAACAGTTAGTGAAAGACTCAAAAAGTAATAGCAAATTTTTTTTTTTTTTTTTTTATTTTTTTAAAGTACATCAGAAACAGGAATCCTGCTAAACAACCAGTGGGGCCACTGAACGATTGAGGTGCTAAAGGAGCACTCAAGGACAATAAGGCCATTGCGGAGAAACTAAATGAATTTTTTGCATCGGTCTTCATGGCTGAGGATCTGAGGGAGATTCCCAAACCCGAGCCATTCTTTTTAGGTGACAGATCTCAGGAACTGTCCCAGATTGGGGTATCAATTAGAGGAGGTTTTGGAACAAACTGATACATTAAACACCAATAAGTCACCAGGACCAGATGGCATTCATCCAAGAGTTCTGACAGAACTCGGATGTGAAACTGCAGAACTACTAAACTGTAGTCTGTATCCTATCATTTAAATCAGTTTCTGTACCAGATAACTGGAGGATAGCTAATCTAACGCCAGTTTTTAAAAAGGGCTCCAGAGGTGATCCCAGCAATTACAGGCCTGTACCGGGCAAACTGGTTGAAACTATAATAAAGAACAATATTGTCAGACATACAGATGAACATAATTTGTTGAGGAAGAGTCAACATGGTTTTAGTAAAGGGATTAGCGAGGCATGATTTCTACTAGAATTCTTTGAGGGGGTCAACAAGCATGTGGACCAAGGGGATCCAGTGGATATAGTGTACTTAGATTTTCAGAAAGCCTTTGACAAGGTCGCTCACCAAAGGCTCTTACGGAAAGTAAGCTGCCACGGGATAAGAGGGAAGGTGCTCTCATGGGTTGGTTAAAAGATAGGAAACAAAGGGTAGGTATAAATGGTCAGTTTTCAGAATGGACAGAGGTAAATAGTGGTGTCCCCCAGGGGTCTGTTCTGGGACTAGTCCTATTCAACATATTCATAAATGATCTGGAAAAAGGGGTAAACAGTGAGGTGGCAAAATTTGCAGATGATACAAAATTATTAAAGATAGTTAAGACCGTGGCAAACAGCAAGAGCTACAAAAGGATCTCTCAAAACTGGGTGACTGGGCAACAAAATGACAGATGAAATTTAATGTTGATAAATGCAAAGTAATGCACATTGGAAAGCATAATCCCACCTATACATATAAAATGATGAGGTCTAAATTAGTTGTTACCACTCTAGAAAGAGATCTTGGAGTCATTGTGGATAGTTCTCTGAAAACCTCCACTCAATGTGCAGCAGCAGTCAAAAAAGCGAACAGAATGCTGGGAATAATTAAGAAAGGGATAGATAAGAGGACAGAAAATATCATGTTGCCTCTATATAAATCCATGGTATGCCCACATCTTGCATACTGTGTTCAGATATGGCCAACCCATCTCAAAAAAGGTATATTGGAATTGGAAAAGGTTCAGAAAAGGGCAACAAAAATGTATGGAACGGCTTCCGTATGAGGAGAGATTAACAAGACTTGGACTTGGAAAAGAGACGGCTTGGAAAAGAGACGGCTAAGGGGAGATATGATTGAGGTCCATAAAATCATGACTGGTGTAGAGAAAGTAGATAAGGAAGTGTTATTTTACTACTTCTCATAACTCAAGAACTAGGGGTCACCAAATGAAATTAATAGGCAGCAGGTTTAAAACAAATAAAAGGAAGTATTTCTTCACACAACGCAGTCAACCTGTGGAACTCCTTGCCAGAGGATATTATGAAGGCCAAGACCATAACAGGGTTCAAAAAAGAACTAGATAAATTCATGGAGGATAGGTCCATCAATGGCTATTAACCAAAATAAGTAGGAATAAATCTTACCGTGTTATAGGTGAAACCTAGGTCCCTAGCCTCTGTTTGCCAGAAGCTAGGAATGAGTCACAGGGGATGGATCACTTGATGATTACCTGTTCTGTTCATTCCCTCTGGGGCTCCTGGCACTGTCCACTGTCGAAAGACAGGATACTGGACTATATGGACCTTTGGTCTGACCCAGTATGGCCATTCTTATTTTCTTATGAAACAGAAACCATTTCCTTACTTTGTCCAACAACAAAAAATTAAACTTTTTTTCTTTTTTTAAGTAGTTTATGTTTAACACAGTACTGTACTTCGCTTTTTTTTTGTCCCTGCTGTCTGATTGCATATTTCCAATTCCAAATGAGATATGTGGTTGACAAGTCACTTCATAACTCTGGTGTTCATAACTCTGAGGTTCTACTGTACATCCAACTTTCATGAAAATGCTGAGGTAAGTCATTCCACTGAAGATATCACATTTACCACCCTGAAGTTAATATATACTCATTCTAAGTTTAGGGTAGAAATAATTCAATTAGTAGACAGTTCAGCATTTACTATGTAAAAATAAAGAAGTTTGATGTAAAGAGGTACTTCTAGCTAATTTTCTTAGCCAGTTGAAAACCTGGAGACTGATTTAGTTTTGTAACTCCCTCACTATTATTTTCAGGAAATAAAACAAAGGAACAGAACCTTTACCTGGCAGCAACAGCTGAAGTCTTCTCCTGGTTATCTGCAGATGGAGGAGACGCATTTTGTTCACCACTCTCAGATCCTGAAAGCTTCTTAAGGGACTGAAGGCTTATTGGGGTTGCAAATACTTCCTGAGAGCCTACAGGGTCTTCTTTTTCTAATGACTGCCAGGATGGCATGACTTCACATTTTGCTGCTTTCTAAAAGACACGTTAAGAGTGTAAACATCTGAACTAAAACACTCAAATATATTATGCTACACAATTGAAAAAAATATACTTATAATTTAAGCAGAGAGACACAAAGTTCATTAAGATTACTATTTAACATTGTCTAAATTTTTCCCATGGCTGTCCAGTGTCCACAAATGAAGAGCCCCAATTTTTGCCCAATACTGAGACATACAGAAATTTAAATGTCTGTCAGCAATAACTGGCATGGGGCCCAACACAACAGCTTAATATTAGAGTCCTGTACTTCAGGGGAATGACCCATGTCTGCTTTAAAACTGAACTGGAGATTACTGTAGCTTATATCTTTGATATTTTATGATAGCACTTTTGTTACATAAGAACATACAAAAGGCCGTACCGGGTCAGACCAAAGGTCCATCTAGCCCAGTATCCTGTCTACCGACAGTGGCCAATGCCAGGTGCCCCAGAGGGAGTGAACCTAACAGGCAATGATCAAGTGATCTCTCTCCTGCCATCCATCTCC